GTTTACCTTAAATATCCGTGTCGCCTTCTAAGTTGAATCTGTTTCACAAAATTAAAACTCATATCAAATTCGGAGTTTATATACAGTTCGGGAAACTAAACAGTAACTTTTTTTCTGTTTGGATTCCGAGAAACCGCAAGAAAATAAAAAGGATAACCAAAAACCTATCAACCTCCCACAACTCGTTGACTCCGATAACACGAATTCTTCCTTTACCAATAAACACATACTCAAAATCTATACTGTCCTTCGCCTTGGTCCTCACTAAAACAAAAATCTTTTCTTTCCTGATTTCCTCTGTTTTCTCAGCAACCAAACAGACCTTTACACGCCTACAAATCCATCAAACTCCTCTCTACTGACTACTATAATCATAGAATTCAAACAAAGCTCCGATCAAAAGAAATTTCAAAAAAAAAAAAAAAAACCAAAGAAAGACAAGTTCTTGCTGACCTTGAAGACGACCGGAGGAGAAGAGCGACGGACCGAACTTTCACTCCGTTACTTAATCGGTTATCCCGAGACGGAAAAATGAGCGGCTGGTAGACTGATATTTAAAGAGGCCGATTGCGGGAGCGAAGTGACTGTCAAACCATGGTTAAGCACTGCGGTTAGCTAATCTGATTGTTCCACCGCGAGAGAATTAAGTCTGAGTTTGACGTGGTGGTTTCTTACTGGATTTGCTCATGCAACACGCAGAACGGAGGATGATGCAAGTCTCTACTCTTTCTGAGATACTTCCCGATTAAAGGGTAGTGAGATCTTTACTCCCTCTTTGTCAAAAAAATTGTTAAAATATGAAAAGGTTAAAATCTTTTTTTGGCCATTCTATTTTAATAAAAAGTTTTTTTAGTTTCTTTACTTAAAAAATTTCTTTTTTAGCCTCTAAAGTTTAAAATTTAATTTCTTTTTAATCTATTTTATTATTTTTTATATACATAATACGTTAGATGATAGAAATTTTAAAGTAGAAAAACAAAAAAAGAGTTTTTTTAGCCCCTTTTAGTCCTTCTATTTTGGAAAAAAAAAACTTTTTTTTGATCCTTTATTTTAAAAAATCTCATTTTTAATCCATTTATTTTAAGAATTCTATTAAGATAACGTGTTATATGAGAAAAAAATAACAAGTGAATTGAAAAGGGATTGAATTTTAAACTTTAAGGATTAAAAAGAATTTTTTTAAAAAATTTAAATAAAAGGACTAAAAATAAAGTTTTACTAAAATAAAAGGACTAAAAAAGAATTTTGACCAAATAAAAAATTATAGTGTGAAACTCTGAAATGGGGTTATATTCCGCTTAAAATCATTTTGGAAATATTAATTTTGATGTATATGAAGATTAATTCAAAAATATTTCGTTCGTAAAAACCAAAAAGAGTGAGAAGGACAATATCAAAAATTTTGTGACAATTAAATATATAGATACTATTACTGTTGAGAATGATAAAATTA